TCTAATGTGTATATATTCCACACTTTCTTCATCCATTCTTCCATTGAAGGACATCTAGGTTGTTTCCAGGTTCTGGCTATGACAAATAATGCTGCTATGAACATAGTTGAGCAAATACTTTTGTCCTATGATAGGGCATCTCTTGGGTATATTCCCAAGAGTAGTATTGCTGGGTTCAGGGGTAGGTTGATCCCAAATTTCCTGAGAAACCGCCACACTGGTTTCCAAAGTGGTTGCACAAGTTTGCATTCACACCAACAATGAATGAGGGTAGCCCTTTCTCAACAACCTCTCCAGCAAAGGCTATCATTGGTGTTTTTTTTTTATTTTTATTTTAGACATTCTGACAGGTGTCTCTCTCCATACCTCTTCAATATTGTACTTGAAGTTTTAGCAATAGCAATAAGACAACATAAGGGGATCAAGGGGATTCGAATCGGAAAGGAAGAAGTTAAACTTTTGTATTTGCAGATGATATGATAGTGTACATAAGCGACCCCAAAAACTCCACCCAAGAACTCCTACAGCTGATAAACACCTTGAGTAATGTGGCAGGATACAAGATCAACTCCAAAAAAATCAGTCACCCTCTTATACAAATGATATGGAAGCAGAGAGGGAAATCAGAGAATCATCACCTTTCACGATAGCCACAAACAGTATAAAATATCTTGGGGTAACTCTAACCAAGGAAGTGAAAGATCTATTTTACAAGAACTTTGAGGCATTGAAGAAAGAAATTGAAGAGGATACCAGAAAATTTAAGGATCTCCCTTGCTCTTGGATTGGGAGGATCAACATAGTAAAAATGGCAATTCTACCAAAGGCTATTCAATGCAATCCCCATCAAGGTCCCATCAAAATTCTTCACAGATCTTGAGAGGGCAATAATCAAATTTATATGGAAAAACAAACAAACAAAAACCCAGGATTGCCAAAACAATCTTATACAATAAAGGAACTTCTGGAGGCATTACCATCACTGACTTCAAACTCTATTACAGAGCTACAGTATTGAAAACAGTTTGGTATTGGCATAAAAACAGAGAAGTCGACCAATGGAATCGTATAGAAGACCCTGATTTTAATCCACAAACCTATGATCACCTTATTTTCGATAAAGGAGCTAAAAGTATACAATGGAAGGAAGAAAGCATCTTCAACAAATGGTGCTGGCACAACTGGATGTCAACCTGTAGAAGAATGAAAATAGACCCATATCTATCACCATGCACAAAACTCAAGTCCAAATGGATCAAAGACCTCAATATCATTCTGAACACACTGAACCTGATAGAAGAGAAAGTTGGAAGTACCCTACAACAGATGGGCACAGGAGATCTCTTCCTAAGTATAACCCCAGCAGCACAGACATTAAGGGCAACATTGAATAAATGGGACCTACTGAAACTGAGAAGCTTCTGTAAAGCAAAAGACACTGTCACTAAGACAAAAAGGCAACCTACTGACTGGGAGAAGATCTTCACCAACCCTGCAACAGACAAAGGTCTGATCTCCAAAATATACAAAGAACTCATGAAACTAGACTTTAAAATGCTAATTAACCCAATTAAAAAATGGGCACTGAACTGAACAGAGAATTCTTAACAGAAGTTCAAATGGCCAAAAGATACTTAAGGTCATGCTCAACCTCCTTAGCGATCAGGGAAATACAAATCAAAGCAACTTTGAGATATCATCTTTCACCTGTCAGAATGGTCAAACCTTATTTTTAAGAGAAAAATATATAGGACAAAACCAAACCCTAGGAATAGCAGTGTAGAAGGGACGTCATTTACATCTTGTAAGACCTCACACATGGTGTAAGTGAAAATGCTATTGAAACCTTGGACGGTTAGATTGTCTGACATATTCCCCTTTTTTTGAAGCAGTAACATATTAATCAAATTTAAAAAATAATAAATCTCACTTGTGGTTTAATCATTTGGAGTAAGTGCAATAACAGTTGCCTGCCAGTAGGTGTCGCAGTGCACTTGAATACACGTGCTTGGTTTTAGATGGCTGAATTTAAATGAAATACTGAAAAATTCTCAAATCAAGAAGTTTGTAGGTTTTTTTTTTTTGATAAATCGCAGGCCATGTGGTCTGTGAATGTCTTTGACTGTTCAGTAGTCTCCAGCTCCAGCTGCATGGTGGCTGTGGCTGGGCTCACGCGCTGGGTGCCCCGGGAAAGTGCATGGGAATGGCATTTTACCATGGCAGCAGTGGCGGTGGCTCTGGGCTGTATGGGCACGCTGGGCATGGAGGGCATGCAAGTGGTGGCGTGGTGCATGGAGGGAAGCCGAGGGGGGTTGTGCGGGGCCAAAGCTGCCAGAGATTCTAGTGGCCCCACAAATCAGGCGCCAGGTGTTTTGAATTAGGTTGGTGTAAATAACCAGACCAGGAATAACAATTATATTTTAATGGTTATAAAGGGAAACTCACACTACAAGAGTGGGAGGTCGGACTTTCTATCTGTCCAGCGGAAGCCACGCAGTGAGAGCACCTACCTTGGTCCTCCCAGTATTTATTTTTTCCTGGGCTCCAGGTAGCCACGCCTTAACTAGATGTGATTGGTTAACAGAGTTTCTCCATCACTGAGTATCTATCTGATTCTGTCTAAATGAGACTGTTTTACTGGAGTGGCCTCTGTCTTCTATAGTTTTCCACATCCTCTTCTTCATTATTCTATGAGTCCTAAGGTTCAGGTGTCTCTGCAATCTCACTCTGCTACTGAGAGATGGTCCATGGGAATCAAGAAATCAGTTGTATAGGTGATCTTCAAATCATTCAAAGAGCTACATAATCATGTCATTTAAAATGTTATAAAAACCTACATCTTTTATGACAGAGAGACACATCTGTTCCTGGAATCAATAATCTTCTTTATAAAAGTATTATAAGCACCCAAGAATTTCCATATGGGTTTTGCTCTTTTTCATTGACAAAAGCTAGCCATTTGGGCAAGAAACTGTCCATGCCTCTACTGCTGACAGTATGCTGTTCAAACTGGACAAGTAATACACAAAAGAAAGTGACTTCAGAACATTTCCATGACAAAGTGTTACAGTCCTTCACAATGTGTGCTTCATAGAAGAGTCTGTCACATAGTCTAGGCAAGTAGGATGAAGATGAATACCTAAAATTTGTAAGTTTGTGGAGGAACCTTTAGTGACTGTCCTTATAACCAGTTCTTTCTCTTATTTCTATAGTTTCAGAATACGTTTGCTCTGTACTTCCTGTTTCCTTGAGTAATATTTTGTCCTATGATGGGAAATGCCTCTCTGTATGCTGCAAATATGTTTTATTGCCATTGATAAATAAAGAAGGTGCTTTGAAATACAGCATGGAAGAATATATTTTGGTGAAAACCAGAAACAGAGATTATTGGGAGAAAAGGGGTAGACTCTGGCAGATGCTGAAGAAGCAAGATTTAAGAATAAAGCTTACTCCAGAAACGCATACAAATCCTTTAATTCAAAATTGTTGTTAAGACATGCAAATGTAAAACTTGTATTTCTTCTTAAAGGAGATTAAGTAGTATTATGATATATAGTTCCTTAAAAATCTTCCCCATTGTGGAGACAAATACATGGTTCCATTCCTGCACAGCTCCCTAGGCCTGGATGTAGGGGGGAAGGCCTTGGACTTCCCAGAGGGCAGAGTTCCCTGCCCTCTCTCAAGCAGGGTTGGGGAAGGAAGAGGGCGGTGTGCGGGAGTGGGAGGGGAGGAAATGAAAATAACTGAATGGAAAAATAAAAAAAAAAAAAAAAAAAAAAAAAAAAAAAAAAAAAACCAAAAAACAAACAAACAAACAAAAAAAAAACAGTCCTTTAAAGTCATACCAAAATTTGTATTTTCATAAAGAGTGAAAAGAACTTTAGGATTTCCCAAGTGCACCCCATCATTTTGCTTTGTCAGTCTTCTGTATTACCAGTATTATCACAGATACATAGCACTTTATAACTTTTTTTATTTACTTGATCCAGTACCATATAATGTATCTTGTGTTTTCTCACACTAAAATAATGTGTGAGATATAATGAGGCTGTAATGTGAAGATATGATGTGCATATCCTCTCTTATGAGGTGCAGTTTGAGGATATTAATACATGTTTACAACTGATTTAAATTACATTATTAGTTTTTCAGCATCCCAGTAATCTCCCACCTTTCACCTCATTTTGTTTCATTAGCTTCACTTCTGTTATAAACAAAGACTTTTTGAGTCATTTTTCAAATTTAAGAAGCCCACATACCTTTCTTCTCTATATACATTGTTATGCAGTCTATGATATTTGCATATTGTTCCCCAGGGAGGTCTCTGCCTTGTAAGCCTAAATAAAAACTCAACTCTGTTCTTGCCATCACATAATTTATCTCCTCAAAATGATGTGTCCTGTCCAGTTCCTGTATCTGCTAATTATCTGCATTCTGGGTAAGGACAGAGGGAGACATAGGTAGGAATGGGGTTAGAGGGAATCTTTCCATGTGTAATAAAGTGGGTCCTGTTGTCCAGAATGGGCTTGTGAGGTTTAATTATGTGATGATGAGAAATTAAAGAGAGATAATCTGTGCTGATGTTGAGATTCTGATTTACATGGAATGGTGTGGTACAGACTATGATCTCAAGGAACTTCAACTAACTTTTTTTCGTGAAAAATTTGATTTACTTTTTAAAGAAACAAAGGATAGCAGAAACTTTCTTGACATGAATAACATAAGGGAATTCACAAAGTTTGTTCAGAAAGCTTACACATAATTTTGAACTTTTCTATTATAATTTTAGGAACCACTGGTGATGTTGTGATGACCCAGAATCCACTCTCTTTGTCGGTTACCATTGGACAATCTGCCTCCATCTCTTGCCGGTCAAGTCAGAGTCTCTTACATAGTAATGGAAAAACCTATTTGAGTTGGTTCCTACAGAGGCCAGGCCAGTCTCCACAGCTCTTAATCTATTTGGTGTCCAAACTTGACTCTGGAGTCCCTGACAGGTTCAGTGGCAGTGGATCAGGGATGGATTTCACTCTCAAAATCAGCAGAGTAGAGGCTGAGGATTTGGGCATTTATTACTGTTTCCAAGGTACACATGTTCCCCCTCACAGTGATACAGACCGTAACAAAAAACTTTCTTGCTTGGAGAGGCCCAGCTGCAATGTGCTGCTTGACTGGAGAAGAGCTGTTCACTCTGCATCAGTGTCAGTTGCCCTTGCAGGGGAACTAGGCCAATTGTTTGCACATAGAGCTCTAGCTAGACTCATCTGGCTGAATGAGTGGTTAGGTTTGTCCACGTGTGACAGCAATTTCTGGTCCTTCGTTCTGTAACAGCCATGGTATTGCTTCTGAACAAGAATAATTTCACATTATTATTTCAGTTTAGTCTGAAAAATTTTAGCACTTACAATTTTTCACTAATTTCTTGAGCTTCATGTTTAATGTTTACTTTTAATGATATATGCATGTTTGTTAAATTTCTTTCAGCTTTTTAAATGCTAAGGTGTCTATTTGTATCCTCTTTGATCTTTCTAAGTAGACTTGAGAGGATTCTTTAAAGAATATTCTGTATGTTTTCTAAGGATCATACACCAGGACAGTTGCTACAATAATTTAGTGATTTAATTACTGCCTTTCATATGCTTCTTAAGTATGTATATTGTTATTTGTCAATATAGCAGAAATATTTGCTGTGGAAAATTTATTTGTGGTTTCTGAACAGAGTTTCTCATGAAATCATGAAAATATGCCTATGATGTAAACTGGCTAATCTATGCTGTGCTTACTTTATAGTACATATTATTGCAATCTGTATAATTCTTTAATTGTACTCAATATTATCAAAGGATGCAAATGGTTCAGTGGTCTAAGCTTGAATACTGAGGTTTCGTATACCTACTAGGATGTGGGTCTTCTCATTCTGATGTGTTACCTGCTTTCCTATGGAAGCATGTTTGGGGCAGGACATCAAAGTTTCCACTGTTTTTCTGGTTTCTTTGATATTTTTCAATCTGTGGAGGATGCATATTCCTCCTGTGTTGTCTCAGGGTCATCTTGATATTACACATGGAAATAACTCTTTAAAAAACAAGAGCACAATATTGATTTTTTTTGTCTTCTGTGAAGAAGTAAAAAGTGAGAACTTTGTAGTAGCTCCCTACAGTGCCTGCAAGGGAAGGCTTACCAGCAACAAAGAATTTTTGTAAAAGATGTAGGATCTGAAATAGACCACACTATACACTCTTATACTTTCTTCCCTTCTCCCATTTCCCTCCCACTCCTCCACTAACCCTCCTCCCTCCCCCTCCAGTCCTAAGAGAGGGCAGGGTACCCTGCCCTGTGGGAAGTCCAAGGCCCTCCCCTCTCCATCCAGGCCTAGGAAGGTGTGCATCCAAACAGACTATGATCCCAAAAATCCGGTACATAAAGTAGAAACAAATCTCAGTGTCATTATCATTGGCTTCTCAGTCAGCCCCCATTGTCAGCCACATTCAGAGAGTCCAGTTTGATCACATGTTCATTTAGTCCCAGTCCAGATGGCTTTGATGAGTTTCCATTGCATCAGGTACACTGTCTCAGTAGGTGGACCAAACCCTCGAGGTCCTGACTTGCTTGCTCATCTTCTCCCTCCTCCTGCTCCTTAGAGAGCCACAAAAATTTAGGATAACAAACTCAATACAAGGTTGTTATTCTCCTTCAAAAAGCCATTTCTGTATAAAAGCTGACCCTATTATTTATTTAAAGGGTATTAATTCTCTCTCTTCCCCATCTCTATCCATCCCTCCCTTCTATAATTCATTTTAAATAGTAGTTTCCTTTTGTCTTAAATATTTCTGTTAATTGATAGTGAAATGTGGGTTTCTTTTCAATAATTATAAGAGTCAACTAGGCAGGTTTTTAACTAATGCTTTCTTAAACAAGTGATTCACAGATCTCCTAAAATATATTGAACATAGGAGAAAATTACTGAAAAAGACTGGAATATAAGTCATGAATTTTTATGAATAGTTATAATTATAACCAAAATAGGTCATCTGAGATATATAAAGAAGCACAATTAACAAACACTCAGACACAGATTTTGGGGTTCAACCTGAAGACCAAAAAAAAAAAAAAAAAATTCAAAGCAACCAACCACTGACTCTTACCTTGACCTTTTTCAGAAAATGATGATCCTGTCTCCAGGAAACCTCCAAATGGTACAGAGACTGAGGGCTGTCTCCTCCCATCTTATAATCCTCCATAGTTCTAAGCCTAGGTGTGTGCATCACTACTGTCTGGTTTCTATGGCAACCTAGCAAGTGACTGGGACTAAAGGTGCGTGTCCCCACTGCCTGGTCTATAAGACTGGCCAACATAGCTGTTTTCCTTTTCCAATCTTCAGGCAAACTATTTATTAAAAAAAATGAAACACCACTACAACATAAAGTTCATTGATGCTACATGGACATCCTGCTTAAAAGGAAGCACTTGGATTATTCTGCAGGCTACTGGGAAAAGAGAACTATTACACCATGTTTAGCCTGGTACAGCAGTAAACATACAAAGTTTATAGTGCAATCCTAAATAATTTATTTGCATATTCACAATTTTCCCAACAGTAAAACTGACAATGAAGAAAATATTTCATGATCTACACTGAGATGTGGGTTCTCATACAGTACAAATGGGATCTATAATACTTCAATTTAATCAACTCTTCACAAAGAAACAAAGTCAGTGTAAGTGAACATTACTGACCAAAAATGTCCTAACAAATATTTGTTCACTATTTTCACATGTTAGTTTCGGAGAATACCTTATTCATTATAGTAAAGTGAACATGGTCCAAAATCAACAAAATTATACACAACAAAATAGATCTAAAAAACTAAAAATACAATTATATTTTGAATCTTCTCTAATTAGAAAATAATCAAATTAGAGACTAATTAAAGTAATTCATGGATTGATGATATTTGGAAAAAATGAACCTGCTTACTCTCTAATAAAATGTAGAATAAGAAATAACATTAAAAGTAGATTGCAATTTTTCTTTAAGTATATTGAAATAAAGAGACACAACTCTCAAAATAGATGTTTCTCAGGAAAGTGTGGAGTCTTTGTAACACACATGTTTCCTGAGAAACTGTCCATGATTGCACTAGGTGTGAAAGATTATATTAGTGTTTACAAACTTTTATGAACAGTGTCATATGCTTCATGTTTGAAAATGTGTGTCAGTTGTATAGGGTTAATAGTATTTGTTTGTTTTTTGCCAGACTCACTTTAAATTCTTAATCAAATAATTCTCAAAATAACAGGCACTTTTTTGAGGTATGTGTGTCAGGAATACATATACTCAATATAAAATCTTGATGAACCTGACATCATCACTATAATAATTGCTTAAAATCCACTCCTTAATCTAATGGTTTAAATTGATTTTATCAACTGATTAATTCTGCTACTCTTTCAACATTTCTTTTACAAAGTGAGACAAAATCTCATTTCTTTAATATAAATATCATACATTTCAGATTGTGAAGATGAAGTTGGGTGTTTACTCTACTCTGAATGTAATGGTGTTAGAGAGGTGGGGTGAACAACTTCTATAAAATATGATTATGCAATGAACAAATGTTTTACACAAAAGACACTGGCTGCAGATACTTTTCAGTGTTAAGTGGATTACTTTTTTATTGCCAGGGAACCAGGGTTAAAATCTCAACACCTACAGGGCAGCTCAAAACCTTATATAGCTCAAATTCCAGGGGATGTAATGCTCTGTTCTGAACTCTAAAGTCACCAATGAACACCTACATGTAGGAAAACAGAATATTCAGAATATTTTAAAAAGGAACATTTTAAAAGCTTGTTAGTGTGAATTAGACTTGGTGTGACTTATGCCTAAGTTGTCACTATAAACTTCAGATAGGCAATGCTGTTTGTGTTTTACAAATGACTCTAACATTACCTTTTTATTATTACACACTTTGGTCTGCTAAGTAAGGAAAAGTTATGTATGTATATAACCAACAGAAGTGTCTCTGGAGATAAAAATCCATGATTATTCTTTGTACTTTGTGATGTACACAGTTTGTTATCACCAACACACCCCAATGCACTCTTCTCCAGCACATTTCATTCCCCATGTCCAAGTACTCACAAATCAGTCTCTGTATAGATCATTTAAATGAGAAGTTACCACAGAGTCAGAAATCCATTAATCTGAAGTTTCTATGGACTTCAGCTATACGATGGCTGTATAATTTTGTTTGATACAGTCTAAATACATGAAATCTGTAACTCACCTTATAAAAGCTTAGTCCAACATAGAAGGCCCAAGGAGCTTCACTTCTACTTTTCATGAAACTGATTATTATTGTCCGTTTCAAATATATTCTAACTTAATTTTTTTCTTTATTGATTCCCATGATGATAGTTGTGGTATAAATATTTAGCTTTTGCTAATGCCAAAATATGACCTTTATGCAGATGGCACCTATAACTCCTCAGAACATGAATTTGTTGAAAACTCCATTTACTTTCTACTCTCATTCTGTATTAATTATTTATTATTTGGCATGAAGATGTTTACGTGATTACTCACTTTGTTTTCACGCTCAGGTATGCTTTATTACACACTTGTCCATGAAAATAAGATGCAAATTGCATGTGTTAAGGTCCAATACTAAAATTAATATATCCATGTTAAAAATGAGAATGACCAAAATTGATTCCAAAGAACCTATGATTTTTGTCAAGTAAATTTGTTTTGGCATTAAAATAGGTTAATCAACAGTACATTTACTTAAGTAAGTTTCTACATATCTAACAAGAAAGAACACTTTGGTTTAGGAGGTCTTCTGTATATGTGTTGCTTTCATTGGTTGAATAAAGAAACTGCTTTGGCCTTTTGATAGGGTAGAGCTTAGATAGGCAAGGAGGACAGAACTGACTTCTGGGAGGAAGAAGGCCGTGTGGCAGTCACCATGTTTTTTCTGCCTGAGATGGACACTGGTTAGACTCATGCCAGTAAGCCACAGTCAATTGGCGATACTCATTAATGGAGATGGGTTAAACTCATATGTAAGAGTTAGCCAATAAGAAGTTAGAGTTAATGGGCCAGGCAGTGTTTAAGAAAGTATTTTCAAGAAATGGTGCTGGCATAACTGGATGTCAACCTGTAGAAGCATGAAAATAGATCCATATCTGTCACCATGTACAATACTCAAGTCTAAATATATTAAAAATCTCAATATAAATCTGACCACACTGAACCTGATAGAAGAGAGAGTGGGAAGTAGCCTGCAATGCATGGGCATAGGAGAACACTTCCTTTGTATAAC